CAACGCACTGTTGTGAAGGTCTGCCGGTAGAATTATACTATTTCCAAAAGCCTTATGGCTTACTCGATGAGCAAACAGTCTCCCGAAGATCTAAGTTCCATTTACTCAGACCTTTACTTTTACAATTGGTGTTGTAATGAAATAGACTCTTTCTTCTTCCTTCCTTTTGGATAGTAATAAAAAATATCCTCGATCGCGGGTCATTTTCTTCGAGTATGTACATTCAGATCTGGCGCTCTTAATGATTCAATAGCCTCTCAGACTCACGAATCTCATTTGCTTATTTCGGCATCCTTTGCATACTGCTGATTGGTCGATATTTCTAAAGCTGGAGCAATAGATTTTGTGATCGCTATCATTGCATATATTGGATCCACTCCTCTTCATGCGTCTCAAGATAGTGGTTGTGTTTTCCTCAAGACTGACGTCTGGCGTACTTATTCACCGTTCGTAAAGACAAACCATCCTCTAAAATTCTTCAGATCCCTTTCTATCTTGTGTTGAAGAAATATTACGACGTAATGACGACACATCGACCACGCCTGTTATTCCCAGATGTGGTCTGTCATGAAATCGACTGGATTCTTCAAGCTAAATATTGCATCACATGGCAGTGGCTCCTAAAATAAACATAGTATTACGTCTTTGACGTATCTGTAAAAAGCACAGAACGATTCTGGCGAGAAAATGTAAGTCTTTGAGCCCGACGCCAACTCTATGTGGCTGGAAAGGAAATGGTACGTGGCGAAATGTAAAAGCTTGGAATAAGCTCGGTGTAACCATGATTCCGGTACAAATTTCGATTTTTGGTAAAAGTGTGCTGCAAACAAATGGTTGTCTAAAATTTGCATGGCGTCTCTACCTAGTCATTATACACAGTGAAATCGTTATCAGCGACATCCTTCTCACTTCGATGAGACCACTCGAAGTAGAATGCTTTGAAGAATGCGGTTACGCCAGTGGGTCTACTCAATTTACCAGCGATATCCAATCATAAAGGTCATTGGAGATTAGTCAGTGTAGCTGTCTTCGGGGGTGGCTCGACCTGGCCAAATTTTCGCACTCAAGTACAGTACAAATATTGTCGGCATGAGACAAACTACTTAAGAAGAATGCAAAATTGTGTTGATGTGGTAGACAAGGTAGCGTAAGGGCTGTGAGATAAAACTTGATGTATGTCTCGATTTGAGCACGTCAAATAAAGGATGGCCACGTCGTCTGAGACGTCTCAATAGGCTTCTTTTTTAGCCGATAAGATACCAATGGATATGAATCCATATTCTTTTTTAGATCCCGTCAGCTAAAGCTGCTGAGAATATTTTCACTTTTTGACAAGCAGCTTCTTGCAATGAAGCACGCCTTGATCAGATTCAGGGCGCGCTTGTTTGCCTCTAAGCCGGTTGTGATCGTGTCCACAGCAATTTAATCATCGCATCGCTCACAGAGACTGGCAAGATCATTATAACTCTTTGCCGAGTACATCTCCGATGCAAGGTCTGACCCGCTAAATGTCGTGGTAGATGCGCTTTCGTATCGTATCGTCCCAACTACTAATTGTCGCGTGTACATCGCCGATTAAATGAGTTATACGTAAAACGTGCAAACAGACACAACATGTGTTGTGCTGCTGAAAGCTTCGAGAGGTAAGAAGTTTGAGAACGTAGATGTTGTGTATCAAAGGTCGCGATAGAACACTTGCATCGCTATTCTTACTCTTTGGCTTGCTGTATCATAGCACCGACCGACATAAACTCGGCGTATATTGGTGCCTCATAATGAGGGAAAAAGTGTGAGATATATGGTACCCTTATGCGTGTCCATCTCGGGAGGGAAGAGACATACTGTTAAGGAAGCACTATTAGCTTGAGGGTAAGCACGCGTATGTGGGGTTAACACATATATGATCTAGGAACGGATTATACTCTCGCCACATGCGGCGGCTCCTTTGGACATTCTGGCGGTTTCGGTAAAACACATAAAGTTCATAAGTCTGGACTTGAACTTGCAGTCGTCAAATAGACGCGTCCGGTATTTCCAAGCTACGAATACTTCGAGATCAAGCAAAAGATGGCGTTTGAGCTACCACAGAGTGAGTTCCGTGCCCGTGCCAAGCTCTTGGAGCTTCATCAAGGTCGTTACGACCTACACTCGATTGCACAACGTGCTTGCTACTTGGTATCGAGCATTGACAACGAGCCAGTTGACATTTCAACGCTAGTTGTAACACTCACGGCTTGAGTGATGGTCCAATCCGGATCAATTGTTCCGTGGGTATTTTAAGACGCTGGACAATGCCATCAACCGTGCGATGCAAGAAAACTTTAGCATTAAGCAAGCCAAGTTCAATGGCTTCGTACCAAGGCAAGCGCGCCAGTCGACCGGTGCGTGTGATGGACCAGAGCCAATGGACATCTCGTACAATTCGCGCCTCGAAATGAGCGTCCTCGCAACTATGGAAAGTGTTTCCGTTTGGAAAACCGAATCATACTGCCCGGGACTGCAGAGTATCCTTGTCGAGTTGGCGACAGACACATGGTGCTCGTTCGGATACAGGGATGCTAGGTATACACAGAACTTTGGCATCAACGTGCATGATGGACATAGCAAGGTGTAGGTCAGTTTAATGACTGATGTGTTATCGCACTTGTTGATAGCGTGATGGTAATACGACTATTTCACAAGCGTTGGGCCTAGAGGAAGCATCTGCAGCAACCAGCTTCAGTACCGTATCTGACAGATTTTTGTAATCAAGGACGGTAACTTTCTCGCACGCAGTGCTTTGCAGCTTTCCTCAATGACCGCTTCGTACAAATCGAATTGCAAGCTCAGCTCCGTACAATTTGAATCATCTCACCGTCTTGCTATTTTTTGCACGTATATCCGAGGGATGACTCTTCCAGCTTAATAGTTGCTTTTGTCGGGGGCACTGAAGGAGGTCTCGCAACTCTAGGCTGTCAACTTACGGGTGAATAATGACTCTCGCCAATGATAAGTTGAGCTTCAATGCCTGTCCGTCGACCAGTAGTACTGACACAGCAAGACCGACGCATTGTGACCAAAACAAACCATCCGGATTATCGTCAGAGCCTCGCTTTTTTACTCGCGACGTACGACCACTCATACAACGCACTGTATTATTACGATGTATGTTCACTTCTATCTCCACTGGTCCTGGCACAGGAGATAATAGCTCACAGCTGTTTTATGTCGTTTTGCTCAAAATAACATACTCACTGCTGCCACAACATAGACCTTTCTTTTCTAGTCTCAACAGGGATCACTCGGGGAACCGCGATATCTGATCTGTCTTGTTTATATTTTACTGAGATCTCGGCTTACTGCCGCTTATGCTTTCCGGGCTATGTTTGAGGCACCTAGCAAAACCGTTGCTATCAATTTAGACATTGACGATATCAAATACGGATACGACTGACGTGCGACGTGCGGCGAGGACACTAGTTAAAGTGTCGAATGTAATACTTAGCTTTAAAGTGAGTCTCGTGGACTTTGACAGAGCAAAACATCGTCCCATCCCAGACCTTAGTTTTCTGGTAGTCAGGAAATTGTGTGCCAAGCCCCATTCTCTTGATAGAGCGTTGGCAAGTCGACACCCACCTCTGAAGCGGTTTTGAAGCTGCAATAGCATTTTCTGATCAAGTATGTCTGCTATTCTGTGACAGTCGTCCGTTGTATGTAATTGCACGACGATTTTTGATCTACCAGGACTTTTTTTGGCTTCATGAAGTTCGGAATACTAGCGTCAACAACCAACAAATCTGGGCATTGAGTCCAACCTCAATTGAAAAGGACCCTTCCCTTAAGACTTGGTTTCATTACCCAATACCTCCGTAAAGCACAATGTAACCCGGCACCTACTTTGTATACTGCCTTGCGCCTGTTGAACCAAAATATTTTCCCGTAAGGGTTTACCGTACGCCCTTGTGTTGTAGTCAAACCATTTGTATCTCTCTATCGAGATGAACGGAGCACACAAAGAGCAATTGATTTGTACTCCGTTGATTTAACATCGGGTACCGCGATTCTCTTCAGCAGCTAGGAAAATTTTAACATTTCGACATGACTGCGATTCATCGCCTATAGCACACAAGTAAAGCTTACACTCTCGGTACATCGCTTCACAGAGCTGCACTTTGCTCTAAAAGTGTTACCCACCGGTTTCACGAGAGAGGTATAATGGACGCGGTTGAACTCGATGAAAGCTGGACACATACAGCGACCCTGCATAATGATGGTCACAATTCCCGCGTCCGATACAGTATTGGATGACATTGAGACGAAAGGAGTTGTCAACTCCTGCACATCGTTTGCCACCTTGACGGGTAGACAGGAACTCAAAATCATTTGATACGCCTGATATATAGGTAAATTGCCGCAACATCTGTCGCTTCAAATTGTTTACGTTGAGAATGTCACTTTTTAGGATATGACTTATAAATCTTCATTCCTGCGCGCAGTGGCTGTATATAAAGCAGAGTCGAATATATGGCCGTAACATTAGCTTTTTTCATCGCGATAAAATAATTTGTCTTCCTTCTTGCCGTCAAAGGGTTGGACACTCAGTATTAGCGGACTCATTATGAGGCCATCTACGTCTTTATCGGAAAATTTTCGAGGCGTTCCTAAGAATGCTTTACTAGCGCATTTCAAACTCGGTAGGCTTTAAAATTCAAGCGATGAGTCTAGATTTTAGGACGCCACTTCTCGGATACATGAGCTGATTAAGCTGGTCCACAGTTGAAGGGGAGAGTTACTCGAGCATTTCACGGTCTATTATGACAAATGATGCAGGTTGGTCTCGAATCGTACGCGGGAATGATGACAACCTCTACCACGTGCAACGGGGTCGCTGTACACAATAAACAGAAAAAAACATTGACTCTCAAATCTCGTGTGAATAATGCGCAGAGGTTTAGTTCACACTCTTTTAGCAGGAGCGGGACTGGGAAACTTTCAAGTAATTATGTCTTAAAGTCTGTCTTTTAGTCTAAAAGAACTTTTGTGTTAGACTGATCTTCTTCGATAGAAAATGAGTTTAAACATTGTGCGTTTCCCGAAACGAAATTGGATTTCCTTTCTAATATGCTATCAGAAGCCCACGTGTCCATTTTTCGAAGTTCCGACATCGTCATCAAAGCCTAAGTTCGGTATTATGAATATTCACGATATCATCAAGTGTAATGTGAAATTTGCAGAATCGTCACAAGCTTTAATTGCACAAGATTACAAACTCGTCTCACAACGCAGTGTATAAACGCTAAAAAATATTTATTGACACGAAACAAAATCGTTCGGGGTCGAAGAGACTATATCCCTCGACAGTCAAAAAGGATCAGATACTATGCTTGAGACATAAAATGATGACATCGTATCTTTCTTTGGTGATGAATGTGTTAAAGGCAACTGACTACTCATGCACGTTTCAGCTTCAATAGGCACCACAATATTAGATCTGAATTTATCCTTTGGCATTAAAGGCGAAGATGGACGAGGCAAGGAGAACGCCATCATGGAAGATATGTCAACCACATTTAATTTGCTTCTTTAGCTTTTGCAATTTAAATAAAAGAGCCAAACCAACACATTTACAGTCGCAAACTCAGTGACCTGGACGGTATAAATCAGCTAAGAAATGTTAATGTCGGTTTAAGTATGTCAAAGTCCTCTGAGGTAATGCAAGCACTTTTTACTGGAAGCCTAACATGCACATGACGCTTGTCCAAAAAAGACCGCTTCTGTGTATGGAGACTTTTCAGATCGAGAATGAGGTCGTGGAGGTGTAGCTCGTGAACAATACCGAGGTATCCGGCGTCATCGCTTAGAGTTGAATTTTGAACTCGACAAAGGTACGGCATGTGATACAAGCTGTGCTGGCGTGGGTAACACTGCGAGAGCTATACAACCGGACGGCTTTACATAACCTTGTCACACACGATGCCATGAACTGATGATGACGAACGAGCGACAATGATAAGCAACTGTACACCTAACACGGGAAGGTTGTGGATGTGCATCAGTTCGGTCAAAAAGAAAGCGTGGCAACTTGTGATGCTGTTGATCACACTGCCAGCCGAAAATGAGTCAATAGGATCGTTAATTGAGGATGCAAATTATACGTCACTCATTAAGAAAATGAAATGCCCTTCAAGTAGTAGGTAATGATGAAGCACGTGTTTGAGAAAAATGCAAATTTGATTAGCGCGGACGAAACGGTGTAACATGAAATGGTTTGCGTAAAACGGCGGTGGTTTTCGGACAAGCTCAAAAATAAGAAGAGGGGCTGCAAGCCTCGAAACGGTGTTAGTTAAAACCACATAGCAAGAGGATCGGACCGAACTAGAGGCTTGACTAGGAACTGAGAACTCATAGTCGATGCAGTTATCGCGGTTGGTGAGGATTGAACGGCTGGGTGGCTGATCGACAAAGGTTCGACGTCACACATGATCTTTAATCGCAGTAAGCTTTTTAACTACGAAACACTGGGCACTTACATCAAAGTACAAGCGCAGACGACTAAAAGTTACGGGCGGACGGTTATAATATTGTACATTTGGTCGGCCTAGATAGCAAACAAATCGAGATGATCGAAGATCTATACTCTTTGCTAGACAAGTGGTTGATATCGGTAGGAAAGCTTGCAGGTCGCGGCATTAAAATAAAGTTCGAAGTCGTTTTGTGCGTGCTTTGGATCAAGACAGGCACAGGCGCGTTGAAATGGAGGTAAAAAAGAGTGGTGATTGGGACGCTGTTTGCGAAATATGCTATCACTTAGATTAATTGAAGCCCTTTCACACTTGCTTGGATCATACTGGCAAAAACATGATCACCAAGACGTAGGTTGCAGCGGCCGGAAAGGCCGCAATGAGATGTAGCATCAAGACTTTATGCGGTGGCTGCATGAAAGCGTAAGCACACGGTATTTTATTCCCGGACCGATCTATAGTGAAGGCATTGAGTGTTCCAAACTTAGACCACGCGGGTATGATAAATTAATGAAGACGCGTTCCAGGGGTGGCATTCTGTGCATTTTTACGTTTCTTATCGACCAATCGAGATATGGCATAAGTTACTCTCGACGAATAAGAGTGAATTACCAACAAACTAAATACATTTAAAGCGTCGATGTGAACGAGTTAAGTGAACGGCAAAAACGTTTGCGCCTAATAGTGGAATAAAATTTGTTATGGCGAAGCCTGCGGACATTTCCTGAGAGAACAGAATCAAGCATCAGCGAGCCGTTTCAAACAGTTCTCAGCTCAACATCGTAGCAAAAGCGTAAAGAAGGTACGCAGCATGCTACACTAACAGGAATTATTTGCGCGGCGGATGGTCGGAGCCATCAGTCCTATGATTTACATGATCAATCGAGTCACGAACACCAATAATCCTGTCACAACACCGTTGAAGTAGCATTCACGGTGAGATGTGGGCAATACCATATTTGTGCATTTAGATCAGACGGATACGACACATCGAAAATGTAAAACATACATAATGGAACCTGCGCGCTCAAAACACATCTTTAGGGGTATATTTTGACCTTGGAGGGGTATCGCGTGCCTGACGTAAACTCATATACGGTCAGGATTCTGTAGCCTGCGAGAAATAAGCATGAAGCAGAAGAAATACATGATGCGCAGTCGCCAACTAACGAAGTGGTCGTCTCGTGATCAAAAACGGTGATAACGACGTTGTTCCAAGACAAGCAAGACTTCGTCCGAGTCAGAACGAATCGAAAAAGACGTGGAATAGGCGCAGAACGCATCATCACCTTAGATACTTCCAGCGAAAGAATCGAAATCAAACGGTTTAGAGCTGGTTATGTACTGGTCGCATCCTCAAACGTTTGGCGAATCTTTAATTATATCGTCCTGGAACGAAATGCTTATGGCGCCCACGTAGAATAGTGTTCTTGTTGGAGAACGGAAGTATTGACCTTTATCTACGAAACACGCAAGTGTTGATGAGGACGAACTCACAGTAGAGGAAGTGTGGGCATACACAGCTACCATTGGAGACTTTGTAGACTCGCTGGTAACATTCGCACTGGAAACGGCTAGCGGTGAAGCAGCAAAAAGGTGCAAGGTCGCAATGGCCGAGGCAAACTTGCGTGCCAAGAACGGACTCTGGACTTTTGCAGGATGTATGCGGTCTATCAGTAGTCAGTGGATGCTTGCCTGGAAACAAGATAAGAATGAATGTGAAATTCGTTTTAAAACGCGGAGGTGGCAGCAAAAATCAGTTATACGTATAAAAAAAATGTTGAAACATACTTATCTGTTGGAAAATGACCTCAATCCGGATCAAAATGGCAAAGGGGGCCCCAGATGATTATATGCGCAAGCAGCTGGACACAAATACGCGATTCTGAACAGTGCACTGAAGGACTGTGTCTAAATAGATGCAGCGAATGCAAAAAATATGATAATTACTCAAGATAGCAATCCACTGATTTAGCAAGCAGCAAGTGCTTGGAACAACGTCACCCTTCGTGTGTTCATTCACCCTGATTCTAAGAGCTGTGATGCACACCAACGCGCTCGATAGAAAAACAGACGGAACAAACACGTGCTCGTAAGTGTCTCCATGGATGGCATGATTACCACGGTGAAGTCAGGCAGAGAATCTCGCGGGTAGATTAAGGATACGCTCAAGAACGAAATTTTAGATGAAAGAGCTTTAGACCTGCAAAAGCATTTTTGGTATAGAAATTGATGGTGATCAGACCAGAACGTGCACTGATAATCAAGCAGATTCAATTTATCGATCACGTGGTGAAATGTTTTAGTCAGCAAATTGCAAAGACCGTAAACAACCAGCGTACATCAAAACTAAAGCTTTTTAGACTATAGTCACTGAAAATCAACGCAAAACGGAGCGAGATGCGTGCTAAACTGTCAAGATCTTATCGGATGAATTTCGTGTATCATGACTTGTACGAGCTCGAAATCGCGTACGTGGCAACGCAACTCGCTCGATGTCGTGAGTTCCCACGACTACGTTAATAGTACATGCTCCTTAACACTTGAAGGCAAAACGAAATCGCTCAAATGTCTACGCAAGCGCAAGTGGTTATAATAGTTCTATTCTCACCCCACACTAATCCAGGTTGGGGAAGCAACATAACGACAGGCGTAGTATGGTGGGGGATTATGGTTATGATTGATAGTCTTCACGTTCACTCATCAGAAAAAAGTTGCACAATACTCGGTTGAAGCCACGATTTAGAGGTTTGATTTTCTGCGCTCAAGGTTTACTTCAAACGCAGAACGCTGTAATGGGAAAGCAGGAAGACGCTACGCAGATATGGAAAGAAATTACGACGCAAGCTACCTTGCAGGAATGAAGCATGCAGATATTCGGCGCCATCTGACGCGAAATAATGTGGAGAGACGGATGCTGATGGTCGACCAAGCACTAGCTAGCGGACATGCTCACCAAGGCGCATGGCTCGTTGACTATCAAGTATCTGAATTGAAGCAGCGTCACCAGTTAGATTACCATGCCATGGCGAGAAGTGGGTGCGTTGACGTGCGTCGCTGCGAACGGTCCAGCGACGTGTTGATCTTGTGGCTTAATTCAGAGCTAGTTTGTAATTGATTAATTCTTACAAATGGCAAGACACATGAGGACAAAAAAACAGGTCATAAGTACTTGTCACATCAAAATTTCTCACTCCAGCTTTCACTCCTCAAACTCAAGAGCCGAACAGCAGGTAAACATTTTAATAAGATCTCATCGCTATATCTACCGGCCGAGCACTTGGCTTTCAAAAATGAATTCGTCTAAAAGCAAAAATGGCAGATGATGACAAATCTCAACGGAGAAGCACTGTTTCTGAGCAATTTCACGTCCAAAATGCGTGGTGATCGAATTCTAATGTGCTAGTAAGCGTGGACGGGATATTTGTTAATTCGCCGGGAAAATGATGAATCTTAAAGAGGCACTTCGATCATCTAAACACTCAGCGCATCCGCAGTAACAAGTGCGTACTCTGTACGTGGATAAGTGCGATGGACGAGGTACAATAAGCAATCATGCTTTATATCAGATTTTTTGGGATTTGAAGGGCAAAAAAAGGTAAAACGGCAAATGTTGCGATCTCAAAGCTTCATACAATACATGCTCTTACATCAAACCGACCTCCGGCTCAGTGGAAAGTTGCTATGTATCATCTTACTTTTTACGCGGCCAAACCTACTCGGCCCTGACTAATATATTACATTGCTTCATTCCGCTGGGGTATTTTTTCTTGAGTTTTCTTGTACGAGGCGCCATCCCGAAGTCCATTTTTGGCTGTTGTCGGTAGTATTTAGCATGCAGCCGACATTTCTTGCATGTCTTGTTCGATTACAATTTTGTCCGCTTAAGGGGTCGACCCGCACCACACACCGTGAGGCCCAAAAGCATTGACCACCTGACCCACTCCTTCAGGTCTTACTGACCTCAAACTCAGGTATTTTTGTCACTTGACGTGGGACTCGGAGGTTCCTGATTCGATACCAACAGGATTCGACTAAGGAAGCCGAGGATTGATCGTTAAAGTGGACGTGTAATCACATCTAATAAATTTGTTTGCCCTGCCAACCTGCGCTCAAATGGGTTTGTGATAGTTGGGTGGGTTGAAGGCCCTATCGACCGAAAGAGCCTCATTGTGTAATAAGGGGACCGGAATCCGGTCCTAAAAAGAGTCGGATAGCTACCAGCATCTCGCCCTTGAGAAAGCTTTATCTGGCGTGTAGATTCCAGTAGCTAAAATAATTGTATCTCTGATGTATGGGATATCGGTAGCATTTCTAGAAGGTGCAAAAGACTTTTCTGTTGGATACTCATCAATTTTCTCCCATCAAACAATACTTAATGTAAAGTCGCTTCGAGCATGTGGTAAACATGATGTTCAACTACTCATATTGCCCCAGATTTCTACAATGGACGATAGCGTTCTATTGCGAAGCAGCTGTTTGACGGGCTAAGCTCAATCAGTCATTAAAATGTTGTAGCGCAAACGATTCAACGGCATAGCCAACGCAAAGGCATGATGCTTCTAGAGGACGTACGATAACTTTAGGGTGATGCAGCACCAATTGACTCATCAAGATTTATCGTGCGGGAATGGACTACAACATTCTTGAGATACTTTCCACATCATACGTGTCAGAAAACAAAACTACATTAAAATTGCTTTATAGTGCAAGGCATAGCTGGTATCATTCTATCTCGGTCTTTCCTCCTACATATACACGAAGGCAACCGGCGGCCCGCACGACTATCACGGATCTTTTGGTACCACACAATTGTTGAGGATCTTCAGCTACTTACGAGCCGGGGACACAGTTCCCGGCTTAGCTGCTGATGCGATTGCAGAGCAATCAACAAAAGCCTTCGACTTTTCGGTTTCCGAAGCTTTACAATATCGGCAAAGCTTATTAATGCATCCCAGGCCTCCTGAACTGCAGCTCACATCGGTCACAACTTTAATACCAACTTTATCATCTCCATCTGATGTCTTTATGTCGCAAGATGGAGATGCAGGAATCGGGCCAGCTTCTGCCCCGACCTCACGCGATGCTGGGGCTGGGGCTGGACGCGGTGCATCTGCACCACCAGGCTTCACTTCAACTTCAAAACAAGTCGAATACGCTGCACCAAAATACCCCTTTGCCATGTTCTGATCCTTGTAAGCCTCTTGATTATCAAGCCAGAAAGTCCAATACCATACCATATTGTAAATTCCAGGTGCTGTACCTGGTGGAATAGTAAATGATCCAATACACGGCTTTCCATCCCCCGCACGACCACTGGGAACGCCATTGTAATCAACAGTCTCACCACAATTGCCATCATCATAATTCATCGTGTGTCCATTCAACAAACGCTCGGGCTTGATGTCATGTGTTGTTTTAAGTGAAGAACCTGGCTGGCCTGTCCAGTAGATACCGTGCTGGGTACCAATAGCTTTCTTGTCTTTCACAATATGTCCATTAGGTAGATATGCATAGTATGCCGTTTGACCGGCTACCAGCGAAATTCTCTTCCGCCAGTCCTTGTACGAGTTGGGGTCAACGTTCATGCATACAGAAGCACCAGCATCTACTTCATTCTTTAGCATCTTGTGAGTGTACCCCGGTCCAATGCCATTGTCCCCACGACCAGGATAACCTGCTCCGTAACCTTCACAAAATCCATTACCACCAGCACCACCGAAAATGTACGACTCACTCTTGTCGTACAGCTTAGCTCGATTCGTGTCAATACAGTCAATCCATGAATGTGCTTTCACATATTGTTGAGCACATAGCAGTACTAGTATAGGTAATTGAGCTAATCGAAACGAAATTACGACGACCATATTACTTGTGACTTGGAGAAATAGAGAATGGCACAAAATCGATGATAGGATAAAGCGGAAGGATGCACGAAAAATTGCTCGTGGAGAAATAGTGCGAGTTACCATTCGAAGGATTAGGGCAAATTTCTTATTTTCGGTTTGAAAATTCTGGACTGACTCCCAATAATATATGGTTTTCGTAGCTTAATCTGTGGTGAAAAGATTTGCTTTAAAGTTTTGTACTGGGAGAGTCACTGCAATATATAAAGCCATCGTGAATTTGGCACTATTACTGATTTATGTTATTTCATTCGATGCAAGAAATGTTTCAATGCGGTGGCACAATTGACAAAATGTGCATAGAATTGCTCTCCATGCAATCGTAAGCTTGCAAAATTCCTATATACTAAATGGACCGACTGTAATCGTCGATCTAACGAAGGCAACGCTAACTTGGCGAAATTTTCTATGATACAGCCTGTCAACTTTACGGCGCACAAGTGTATGATTCATCAGGTGAAAAAAATAATCACGCAGAGCGAAAGACCAAGACACAGGAATTTCTGCCACGAAAACAGAACTCTGGAAGTATTTACCCCTTAGCATCTAAAGTATTAATATAAAGTCGTGGTCATGACTTGATAGTATACACTCTTGTATACATTCGGGGCCACCACCAAATCAGATTAGTAAACTGTTCTTTATTGTATATCAGCATGTGAGTGTACCTTAACGCGGTTACACCTAGTTCAGTTGAAATTCCATGTCATTCAGGCATAACATTTTTTATGGCTATTGATAGACGGTATCATCAGTTTGCATTACTTTTTTAAATGTTTATATAATGGGGTCAAGAACGTAAGAGCTTGTGAGCATTCCTTTGCTCATTAGTTGTATAATCTTCAACGCCGTGGACGAGTACTGGGTGACCATCGACAACGACATGGCTAACAATGACCGATATATTGTGCCATCTAGATTGTATGCAGTTGGCAGTGAATAGTGTCCTCTACTTTTTGACTCGAGCTGCGTGTAGCAAAAATGGTAACTGATAAAAACGTTCGATCTGAACTTGACTGAGCTTTTGGGACCAACAAAGACCAGAGCAAGTAAGAACAGTAGCGTCGGGTCGCCAGCCCAGCGAAACAACACAATTTTTTTAAGCCGCATATTTGAGAATATTAAGCTTTCATTGATTGTAGCTCTGAAAAAGATGCTGCATTTAGAATGACAGCACCACTGCGATGCGCATTTTCAAGCTTCTAGAAAATGGCAATCGCACGTTTGTATAGTATACAAGAAAAAGACTAGACGACGTCTGATTAAAATCAAAGCACTCGAAATCTTCCCAGCATCTTGTGCTGTTGCAAAAGCTAGGAACTCTACTCATTGATCTCCTGTTGCTTGAGTCAAAACGATAGTCAAAAGAGCAGAGTCTTACCGCATACCATTTTTTTGAAGTGAAGACAATAAGTCAGTATCGGTGTGGCATAACCGCCATAAAACTTGCTGAAGAGATTATCTGCCGCCCTTGCGGCGTATCAAGTAGAACGTTACCACGAAACATTATACAGCGCAATTTTGTTTCTTACAAAAGCATTCGTTGATGTTAAGGTACCACGGTGACCTCTTCAATATTCCAAATACATCTAGCTTCGTCAATTGGTACATACTTATTGAGCGAAAAAGCGTTTTCTAAAATTATATAGACAAATAAGCTCTTTGGCTTCTTTGAAGCGCAAAAGTGGTGAGCTTAATAATTGAGATACAAAGACAGCTTACATACCAACATACTTTAGATGAACTTGACATGCAACCAGCTGTGATATGCAATTTAAGATGTTACTTGCGGACTCTCCCGTGCAATGTTTTTTAATGGATTGTTTTATTGTAGATAAAAAATGCGCAATACTTTACAATTCTGTAGAGCAGTTAATTTATCGGAAAAGTGATGTAGATTGAGTGTCTTGCGTGATGTAAACGGCAAATCTTAACAATGATTGCGCCAGTTAAGTGTCATAGTTTTTGGTCTGTTCTTAAGGCTTGAATAAGCTAACGTTTTGCGCTTAAGAACTTTTTTGCTAGCTTTGCTTAACAAGGCACTAAATCTATTTCATTCTTCGGCATTATTATTTACTTTCTTCACAATTATCATGTTAATGTGCTCAGGAGAATGCAAACGCCATTCTGTGTAATGACAATATACTGTATTGGTATTTGTAAATTGATCGTAATTTAGAGCTCGCTCTTGAATTTTATCCGAAATTCCGCCATGTACCGCGTCATGGTAATGTAATTAAACACATCAAACGTTCCACAGTATTGGTCGTAATAAGGACAATGAGACTAAAGAAGAGGTCCATGGGCTGTAAGCCTGACGTAGATAATTTTACAATCGGGCATTGAAAATCATACTTCTCGAAAATTAAATCATCATGAATTTTCGCCTAAATGTATATATATCACTCTTTCGCCTAAATGTATACATATACATCACTCATCGAACTTGTGGATTTGATCAATCTGAGGCGATGGAGAAGCCAAATCACGACTATTCGCTGCGAACCTTCCGTTTTAAACCAAGAACGCAAAAAGTCGATTCGATAGCACACTGTGATTTTAAACGTCACCACCTTAGAAGTACCGCTTGGTCCGGAGTGTCAGCTGGAGAATGCGTATATTTTATGAGAGCTTCTGAAAGCTGGCGAAACTGACAACGATGATCATTCTCCATTCTTGCAGTGTGCTCAAACGCACATCTATCAATCTATCTCACCGCTTTACAAGCCAGCTTCAGTGAAGTAGACGTCCTAACACAGCTCCATTGAATGCCTGACTTTTCAAAGCACAAAACAAATGGTTAAGTTAAGGCTGGAAATCTCCTACCATAGATGCCGCATTTAGGTTTTCCATATTGATTTTGCCCTTAAAATCTGGACAAGGGCGGTTCTTACTTTCTGGACGTTGCGCTTGTCTAACTTATCTTTATCTCGGAAGAATAAGTCCATGAGTGTATATTTCGTTCAGGAGATCGCGATACACAACCGCTCGCTTACATATGTCCCGTCGAAATTGTTTTCTGGAAATCGCGACATAAGGTCGTTCATTCCTGGCTTTGCAGATATAATTTTCGAATATGATGTGTTATGACCGCTGCTTTCTATCTTGTTTAAAGACTATGGCTCAATGTTGCTTCTGTATCACACTTTATGCTTAAATCATATAAGAATAGCACTAATAATCCATTTCCGTCCCAAGTCTTTCAACGAACCTATCACGGTTTCATTTCTGTGCGAAAGGCACCTTTGCTTCCTAGCTGAAATGAATTCATAACACCGCGTTTTACCGAATCTCCTCGATGTAAAGTGGATTCATTGCTCCTATTGTAAGTCACGCTAAACCTTGAGTAAGATCGCATTTCGAATCCGTAATTAGGACAGAATGGCATTTCACGCTGTCAGAGGCCTGTAATATTACAAGATGGCTAAAACAGTATAAAAAATAGTTTCTCCGACACCAAACACACGGATTTCATATCCATTTTTGCAATCTCCGATGCCACCGTGCACTTCTCGTGTTTAGCAGTCGTGCGGTTTTGCGACGCTCCTAAGCCAAAATTTCACAGATTACAAAGACCAGTCGTTAACATTGACAGCCGACAACACCGGGCTTTGAACTTCACCCTTCTCACATCAATCCCCTTCGTTGAGGGCGGAATACCATATATCGCGATCTCTACGGCGTACAATAGGATTCAGCTCTTTTCAGAAGACCACTCTGTGCCTGCTAAGACCTGACGTTCCCTCGAGGGTCGTTCGATAATGTTGCGTGACTGGTCACCTTTACAGACCTCTAGTAACGGGGTTCCACGTACCCCTGTTTGAAAGGGCGGATCGCCCAAAATAGTGTGACCGTACATAGGTGTGGGTTACACAAGGTTGTGTAATAACACAGTGGTGTGGCCAAATTGTAGTAGTAATGCATATTACTAAATTGATTAGATTGTTCTATATTAATTAGGTATTATATTAATCAGGAAAACCTAAGGTTTTAGATATTGGCAGCTCTGCCGCAACTCAAACAATTATATACAATTTCGAATTTGAACAAAAGAGATCGCTTACCTTGATTTAAATTTTCAGTACTCTTTGAGGCAGCAGATTGCGATCCGCTGCACTCAGTTAGTTCATATAGATAACGCAAGGTCGGTGACCTTAGCTTTGCTTCCTCTAAGCATAAAGCACCTACGGCAGCCCCGCTGCACCTCTCGATTGGATTGTTATGGGGTTACACGTACCCTGGTATGATGGGGTAGGTTACACAAGATGATTTGATCACAAAATGGTGTGGATACATCTAAACAAGAAGTCACTACATGGCTGGATTGCCAGTGATTTTGTAATTATTTAATAGAATTTACTTTCTAATAAGAAAAACCTAAAATTTAGATACAGGCAGTGTTGCCGTAAACAAATACAGTTTCCATTTTGAACGGAAGAGTTTATTTGCCTTGATTTAGGTTGTGGTCACTCTTGGAGTAAGCGGATTGCGATCCGCTACACTCGTTCTGGTTCTGAGTACAGAGCGAAGGTTACCGACTTCACCTCAACTTCCTCTAAGCAAAAAGTAACGGCAGATCCCGCTGCACGTGGTAGCACTTGTAGTCAATCTACACCTGAGTCGTTACGTCTAATCCTCGATACGGATGGACGGGCTGAAAAAACTGATGTCTCTGCTTGGCCCTGAGGGCGTGCAACACGTCGCTTCACAAGGACCTGACGCGATAAGCGCGTGCCTAGATGCGTTTTCGAACTATGAAAAAGTTCTGCTGAGCAACTCGAGCAAAAGCCACAGGCATCGACTGCGTCATGACGCTACAGTCGACGGCAGATGACTCTTCTCGACCCAAGCCACTCATGGTCAGCGTTAAGACCTTCGAGGGACAGGATGAAAGGAATCTCCTGCTATGGATGAGAGAGTCCAAGATGACTATGGCGTTCGCCTTGGACCAGACCGAGAAA